TTATGTTTTTAATGTTTGTTGTGAATCGCCCAGAGTTCCCCCATTGGGGGGAGGTGGGGGGTTGGAAAATTTAATAAATAAATAATAAATAAAGAAATAAAGAACATCAATGACTTGAGATACTGTCTTTCCCCTCCCTTAGTGAAATAAAAATATTTTGAGCCATTTGAAACTGACAGGAAAACCAGCATCTAGTTGAGTGAAGAATCTTTTTCCCTGGAAAATTAATTTGGCTCTTTCAAACATGTTTGAAAGATTTGGGTATTCACCTCTGTTTTTATCTTATTAATTTGAAATTGTCCCAGGCGTTATAAAAAGGATCTTTTTAAAATTGTTTTTTGTTGTTATTGATTTTCAGTGGGATTGGTGAATTACGAACATTCAAGATGGTTTTTGTTTGTTTATCTATTTAAGATTTAGTGTAGAAACAGTTTTGTGAGGGCTGTATAGTCCCTCAACATTTATGTATACTTAATAGATTTAGATTTGGCACAGATTAGATTTATTTTAAGAGTTGAGCAATTAATGGATAAGAATTTAGTTTTCAAACCATATGTTTGAGGTGTATACAACACTTGAAGCTTTTATCACTTGCAAACTAATTTTAGATCCAAGAATATCATTTGGGGAAATGTGAAACAGAAGAATTAGAATTACAGTAGTGTAATCCTAAACATATCTTCTCATGAATCCAGTGATGTAATCTTGAGATAGCTAATTGAAATTGTATTCAAATTGTTGTTTGCAATAGATCAAGACACTGAACCAAAAAAACCCCCCAAAACAAAGTTTCTATCCCTTATGGATATGGTAATATAATATAATTTCTGGATCAGGAGGCCCTCCATGCGGTCACTCATGCCCTGGCCACCTCCTGTTTGGATTACTGCAATGCACTCTACATGGGGCTACCCTTGAAGAGTATTTGGAAGCTACAGCTGGCACAAAATGCAGCAGTGTGGACAGTATTGAATGCCCCTAGGGTGGCACATATAACACCCCTGTTACGTGACCTGCGCTGGTTGCCGGTTTGCTTCTGGGTCCAATTCAAGGTGTTGGTTATCACCTTTAAAGCCCTTCATGGCCCAGGACCAGGTTATCTCAGGGGCCGTCTTGCCCCCGTTATATCTGCTAGCCCCA